CCTTATCAGCGGTACCTTTTTAGGCGTACGATTGCGCGGGCTAAATTATTTTTACTTCTAAGCAACGTTGCCAAATACACAGATTATAGGTTTTAAATGAAATGTTCATAATAACTTCAGAAAGGGGGAGTGATTTATTAGTGGTGAAGACGTGAAGAAACACAAATTTCGACACGTCAGACAGCGGGAAGATGGAAACAACAGATGAAGGTGCTGTAAAAAATATAAATTTATAAATAATAAATTAAATATAAATATAAATTATTATAACTATTTTTATTATTTGTATATAATGTAATTTTATATCGAAATTGATGATTTTCAACCGTGTACCAATTATTATTGTTTTTTTTTTTGAATTTTTTGACCTAAAAAATTGAATTTAGAAGATATCACTGGCAGCTAGTCGAACATTTGTTAGGTTTTTATAATAATAATTATTTTATATTAAAATAACAATCTGGCAACGTCGCATCCAATTTCAAGCGCAATCGTACGATTTTGAATAGTCAAAACTCAAAAGCATGATTATTTGTTGTTCCGGCACCGCGCGCAATCGTATGCCTAAAAAGGTAAAACGCGCGCAATCGTACTCCACCGCACTTATCAAATATACCCGCAATAGCTTACAATGAATATAACAACAAAAAAAATATTCCAAAAAAAAGAACCATCTATAATTATATACCTATATTACTTACGTTACTATACCAACTGTTAAATATAACATAAATGTTTAAATAAAATTTAACTGATAATTGTTATTATGACCTATGGGTATATAATAGATTTAAGCTTCGATCAATTAAATAAAATATGATAAATTAATATATTTTATCGTGGTTTAAATACTGTATATTATAGTTTATAGCACTATACCATACAGTGTACTCGATTTCAATCGTTATAAATTATAAATAATTGGCTAAGAGATAGAATATTTATAATTTAATATATTATTATGAGTTATAAATCAACCTCATTCTTTAGAGGCTCAGAAGAAAACCCACCACGTCCCACCACATCAAAGGAAGGGTGGCGTCATGGTGACCACCTACACCCTTGACTGACGGTTTCAGTGGCACTGAATTTACATAGAATAATACATTATATTATTATAAGTAATACCTTCAATCAGTAGTGGATCCAGAATTTTTTTTCGGGAGGGGTTATAATTTATTTTTGTCGAATTTTATCTGAAAATGATTTATTAATGATAACGTTGTTATAATTTAACAATTTTCAGGGGGGGGGGGGTAAAACCCCCTAACTACCCCTGGATACTCCACTGCCTTCAATATTAGCGCAAAAAAGGATGCTAAATTATGGTAACAAAAAGTTTTTGGGATTTATGAGAATCTGAAAAAATATTGCTCAACGTCCATAACTATCAACTAACCAATTTAACTATTTTTTAATTCTAATGTTAGACAATGATGTTTCTGGTGGATTAATAAGTGGTTTAATTTAATTTTTGTATGTATATTTTTTAAATTAAATGCATCTGGCATTATTTCTTGTTCGTTTATTAATTTGACACAATTTTTTTAAATTTCCACGTACAATATCATACAATGAAATTCAATGTTATTCTTAAAAAAAAACGAAGAAATAATATAGGAAACATGATATTTAAGTAGGTACCTACCTCATAAATTATTTTATAATTATTAATTAAATGCGGTGAAAAACGCAGTGTATAGTCTCAATTCAAGGTCAGTCGTTTAGGCGATTATATTATTACTATCACCTATAAAGTAACAATTATATACACAAGACCTTTAAACATCGTAAACATTGTCATTTCAGGGGAAATATAAAATAATAAATAGGTACCTATACTAGGTCACTAAAAAGTAAAAATTAATAAAAATAAAAACATTAAAATATAGTTCCTATTATTTATCACGTAGTTAGCATTATTAGACTCTTTGTTCGGATGGGGGGATGCGGGATTACAGAAAACAGATTTATAGGACGAGGATGAGGGATTGACGTGAACTTTGGGTTTGGTCGTGAAGATTCATGGAAATTATGTGATAAAAATTTGCCTAAGAAAAATTTCTGATATACCTACCCTTAATAATAATAAGGAGGGGGGGAATATTAGTCTTATAGGTACATAATCAATAGGCATACAAATCACAAAAAAGGTCGTAAAAATATTTGATAATTTGTAAAAACTAAACTTTCAATGCTTATAAAAAAAAATAAACAGTAACTTTTTATTTAATATCATTTCATATTATTGATGATTGAGACAAAAAACATCAGAAAGTATACGAATAGTCCTATAAAGACATCACGTCATCGCGTACACATTTTGCTTGATTACTTAAGCTCAGTATTATATTGGTGAATTAATATTATTGTAATATTAAATAGAATTGAATCTAAATTCCAAACCATTCGGACCAAATGGTTAGGTAGCAAAATCTGCACTTAATAGAAAATGTAAATTGAATAATATAAAATATATTCTCAAATTTTGAGTTCCAAATTAAAATGCATCATAATTCATATGTACTCATAACTCATATGTAAATCAATAAAAATGAGTTAATCATGTAAACCAGTATTTATGTACAGTGTTAACACTTAACAGTCACGTGTTAAAGTAGGGTGCTCAATTTTATGCTTGACTGAGTGTTTAAGCTTGTCATTTCGTTTATCAATGACGTTACTCAAACTAATATGATCCACTCATTCAGGTTTGTGAATAAAAAAAAATAAACTATGTAACAAGTAAAATCATAAATTATTGTTTTGTTCGTTTTTTTTTCTTCAATCATTTAACAGAAAAATAAGTTATATGTATAATCTTAACACGTAGGTACACACAATACACCTATAAGCGACATTACTTTTAAACGGATTTCAATAACATCAGTTGATTGCAATTCGTTTCCTAATCCGCAGTAACAGCTAACAACTAGTTTATCGTATAATAATGTATAATACAACAAAATTAAAATTCATTAAGTTAAGTTACTATTTTCTGTGCGTAGTTTACTAGTTAGTAATTAGTAATTTTATTACTAGTATGTATGACTGCCTATACAAAATACATAAGTAGTCACTTATACATAGGTACTTTCAACCGATTTAATAAATAAACACTTGGTCTAATACGACTTCAATTATTATATTTATGACAAGTGATGATTACGCATTTAAAAATCGATCCAAACAAGAAATTAAAAAAACGACGTAAAAAAACTTGAAAAGGAAAAGAAGGACATACTTGAATTATTGTGTTATATGGGAAGATACGGAAATGGACTCATTCCAAAAACCAAACTGAAACATTAAACTAAACGTGTTTCAGGATATTATGTAAATTCTATTCACTTTAATTTTTCGTAAAATGAGGTACTCGCTTTCATAATTTAATTAAATATGCAATGTGAAGAAATGTCAACCATAGTGGTGAAAAAATTTATAAATTTAACTACTGCTGTATGCACATTTATAGTTATGCTGTTGACCTTAGATTTTAGAAGTGACAAGATAAACGCTCGTTCAGTCGTCTAAAACTCTAAACTGATTTTATTGTGTATGTACCACAATCTCAGAACAATTATAAATCATCAATTATTATTCCTAAAATGTAATCTTTATGAATACAAAATAGTACACATCAAAATTTTAAAATACTTTATTACATTCTATGTAAGCATCTAAGCTTTTTATAAATAACTAGGTAACTTCTTAAATTAAACCATTTCAATTTCCTATAATCCATAATTATTTAAATGTACAATTTAATTTAGTCTTAAAACAACCATCAGCCAAGTCTACGTTTGATTTCTATTTAAACTTGGTACTTACTAATAAATTATTAGTAATAATTTACCTTAACAAATTGTATTGTCTATCGATCCTATTGATTTAATCAGTATTGGGACAAATTGTCACGTAAGTAAAATAGAAAATAGCATAAGATATACGTCCTACCTCCTCTCCACAGTCAGTATTGAATCCTTAAATATGGTTTTACAAAAATATAAACTATATATAATATTAGATGTAAGTAGTATTCGTTACACTTCAATCATTTCTAAAATTATTTATATTGATAGATACACATATTATAATAATATAATATAGTAATTACTAACATTTTTAGATTATCTAAGACCCCAAATCTACTTAACCTATTGGTCAGTAGGGTAGCCAGGATTTTTCTTTTACACATTAAATACGTACTAGCATAGATAGATAGCTGAAAAGTGTTAACTTATTATAGTACATTTTTAAATATTTTAAATACAATTTAAGACTTTTTGAGTGATCATTAAAATAATTTGCAGTATAATAGGGCATAGACATATTATTCTTAGTACCTTTTTCTAGCTATTTTCAATATTTGAATAACAATTAACATAGTATATTGCTAATTCAATATCAACAAATTATAGTGCTCAAATGATATCATTCGATTAAATTTAGCAATGTGGGAAAAAAATAAAATATAGAGCATTCTCAATCGTGTTACCAAAAATGCCGTTCTCAATCATATTTTACCGAAAATAAAATACCCATTAATTTGTAAAATGTATTATAGTTTATTACCTGCATACGTCCTTTTTTTCTATTGGCACCACCGCCTGTAGGGACTGAACACTGAACTGTTTGCAAAGTTGCTTGGCCCCCATGTGACATCGTTTATTGTACAAAAACATGTAGTGTAATATTAGGGACAATATTTCATGAAAGAAACGATTTGGCTTTATTTATTTTAAGCGTCACTCATGGAGATTATAATATGATTATGAGAGATGTAACCAAAAGTCACAGATATATACAATAATATTGTATATATCTGTGCCAAAAGTTTACAATTTGTAAGGAACCGACGACCGCGGTATAGATTTCAGCGCGTGAAATAGGCGCGCAGATCTTTTGGGGATTTCCACTTTACCGCCCGCTGGACGGAAAAAGGACGCTTTCCAACGCTTCAACCGGGGCAGGCATGACAATAAATATATACAACCCTTTCACCGGTGCAGGTTACATCCGTTCATCCTTAAGTATAATATTTCTAGGGTTAATATGTCGCAATCGGTACTCGGAGGAGGCTTAGATTTGTTTTCAGGCAAAGATATAAAACGCTTAAGGTGGATTTTTGTGGGTTTTGTCATCCTCATTAATCTTCCCAACCGGGCTTCCCGCCCACCGGTCTCAAAGTCTCGTTCTCCGTGTTCTCGGCTTACTGGTTGCCAACAACACACTGTCATGTATGGTGTTTGGTTTAGCAGTTTCATTTCCGTTGGTCCGCTATAGCCTAGGCTGCCTGTCGGACCCTCTCCTCCTCATCTTTAAGAGTCGGGATCTCCTCCACCATTTTGCAGAAGATGTTAGTGACTGATATACAATTTTAACATAATAATATTATGTTGGTACAATCATATTTTAAACTTTAAAAGAAGTGTAGAAATTGAGATGGACATAGGGTAAAATGTCTAATACAAAAGCATATGATTATGTCTATATAGTCATAGTAAAAAAAAGGCAAATCGCTCGTATTACATGGCATCTTAAAAACCCGGCGTCCATGAATTAACATAGTTGACCTATAATTATTATACGTTAATTGTATTCTTTGAATTGCATATAAATATATTATATTAAGTACGTATATTTTATATATAAGCTCGTTAAATTCATATTTGTATAATTGTATTAACTTTAATTTATTTTTATTAAGAGGATGCCTGAATGTGTTAGCGTTCGGCAGAACCCTGAACCGATTTTATGTTGTTAGCTTCAATATAGGTAGATATAGAGTAAATTATTATCAACTTTAAAAGAAAAAATTATGGACATTATCTATGTTTCTACATTGTTTTTATACAATATTTTAATTTTCAAGCTAATTATGAGTATTTTTATATTGCAATATTTTACATTCTCATAACTCGTTTAAAAATTTTAAAACATTGTAAAAACCCAATGTACAAACATATAGATAATGTTCTTATCTTTAAGTAAGTTTCATGAAAGGTCAATTTACTCTAATATGAAACATAACGGTACAAAATTGGTTCTGATGAGTGATGATGAATTAAAAATTGCAGCGTTATACGCGTTTGTAAGTTAAGAGACAACATAATATAAATAATAAATTTACCATTTACTGCAAACAAAGGACACTATATTGCACAATCATATTGTATTAAGGATGATATAAATTCAAGGTCAAATCTAAGTAAGAAAGGTTTCTTATTCGAGTTTCATGGATCGTAGAAACTTATTAGGTAGTTATTAACTATGTTTTTAAATTTACATTAAAAAAATATATGCATTTTACCAATTGATTTAGCTGCAAATTTATTTTACATTAAACATTTTTAACTGTTTTTTTTATTTTATTTTGTAGTATCATACAAGTAGAAAGAATATTTGGAAAGAGCTAAACATTTCACATTTTAATCAAGTTTATCTAATCAGTTTTAATGTAACTTTAGGTCTTTACTCTTTATGATTGACTGATGATTGAGTATTGATAAAATTTGAGACATAAGGTTGCACTCCAATATACTTATTGCAGAAATGCCTAAAAAAGAGTTCATATTAAGGTTTTTTTTTTTTACTTAAAACAGCGCAATTACTATTTATTATCATTCACGCGTGCTAAAAAGTAAAATACTATACACTTTGTGTAGATTATATTATCATGTGTAGACCGGTGTAGGTACTGTGTCACAGTATATAAACGTGATTAGTACATGTAAATTGTCACGTCATGTCATGTTTAAAAACAAATTACATAATATAGTAAATAATAAATAGGTAGGTAGGTATGCATAAAATGAGAAATAGGCAGGTGTATACGCACTACCTACACATTTCAATACCTATCTGACAAAAACATATTACATTTTTTCTCGATAATAATAATGATAAAATTTGTTTATTTTATAACCCATAAAATATGAACATAATATAATAGTAAAGGAATCTTGGATTAGAACCATGAATTAAGATATCTTAATTCGTGATTAGAATGTCACTTAACTTTTGTTCGGTCAATCGGGTGGACGTCAATTAGGTCACATTAATTTATCTGTCTGCTTAGTATAATACAAAATATTTTTATATTCTATTACCCGGGTATTACGTAACAAAAATATGAAATGTTTGAATAGGTACCGGAAATTGGGCCATATAGATATATTTATAACTTAAATTAATTTAATTTAATATAAGTCACATATTTCTTCATTCAACAAAGCCCTGAATTTATTAAATTAAATAAAAATTACTTTAATGTTACTATAATTTATATTGGTAATGAGCCATATACAACTTTAGTCCCCGTCCAGTAAAAGGAATTTCATAAATGGTTAAAAACTAATCCAGTAACCGCACTCTTTTTTGAAAAATGGTTAATTATGGCCGAATTCCCGGAAGTCCTGTCAATCATCAAGTTATAGCTATATTACAGTGTGTAAAAAATAGTTCTATGTTCATCCTAATTATCATTGATTTGGAAAAAAGTTGTTCTTAACATCGTCTATACAAATTTTTAAATTTATCAAAATTTTTTTCAAAAAGTTGAAGTAGATACACGATTAGTACGATACAACTCTAAACAACCAACTTAGAAAAAAAAAACTCAAATTAATTCAGTAACGGATCCAGGGGGGAGGGCCTACAAAAACTTTTCACATGTTCGCTTTATATATTAATTAATAATCAGAAATTTATTTATCACATTGATTATCTATACCTACTATTATGCCAACATTTTTAAATTAAGAATAAAGTATAATATTTTATTATAATTGTATTTATGTTGTAAAAATGTGTTGCCCCCTCCCCCACCAGATCTTTGCTCTAGATCCGTGCCTGAATTAATTAAGGTTGTACACTTGTACTTGTCAGTGCCGGTTTTCAAAATTTTCCGCAATTCTATAAAATTTGAAAATTATATTTTATATTTTAGTATTGTTACCTAAATTATAATACTTTACCATTAATCTACTGTCCGATACGTACTTAAGAGGGGGGGGGGTTGATATACGGTGTATTATATCAACAAAAATGGGTTCACAGGAAAACTTCTCATGCCTCGTTGATACGTAAAATTTTTTAAACAGTGGATCCTATTTGAAAAACAAGTTTTTATTGTCATAGAATCTTAAGTGTTACAAAAAAATTCAAGAAGGTATTTGAATGTAATAAATGGTCTTAAAGTGTAAAAAGTGTTTAAATATTCTAAAAATCAGAATTTGAATATAACTTAAGCATAAAAATAGGGTGAACATACTTAAAAAAATCACCTTGTATAATAGAGGGATTGAGGGAAAGTGTATAGTTGCAGTTTATATGGGTGGGTCTAGGTACTAAAAACATTTTCGATCGGTTTTGATGAAAAACAATTACTGAGATTACTTCAACTGAAGAAAAACAGAAACGTCAGAAACGATAGATAGATAAATAGATTATAGTCTATAGTCGGTTACTCGGCTAATACAGATATACAGATATTATTAAACCGCGGTTACCTATATCTAAATGAGTATAATGACCCGAAGTCTATCATTAATTTATTCATTTAATCTATCATTTAAAATGACTCATCCTATCGTTAGTTAATTAATTATTTAATTAGATAATTAGATTATCATTTAAAATAACGCATGTGGAAATGGCAAATCCATAGTTTTTTGTTTACCAATTGACACCAAATTTTGCAAACGACAAACATGTATATTATTTGGGATTCCAAATGGGTCGTAAGACTGTAAGAGTATTAGAATATAAGTTTATAGCTTATAGAAGCCACGGGTAAGGGTAACAGATTTTACCACTGATCACTAAAAAAAACAATTCGTTAATTAATAAACGATTGGAAATCAAAATGCCGTATATCTACGGTATACCACACCACAGCTGTACTGTTTTGCACCTATTTACAACTTCTAAATAATTAGATAGATTTTGATCCATTATGTATAATATACCTACTCAAAACCTCCATGTAGGTTTTTTAGGTATATAATATATTAGTTTTTAAATGTATTAAACTGCAATTATAGTTGTTTTATTTAAACTATGTGTATTGTGTATATAGTTCTTTAATACCTATATATTAAGATAGTAATAATTGTAACTATATATTTTAAGTGAGAAAGGAGGCAATAATTATAATTACCTATCATAATATTTTACTCTATAATGGCATGTGAATATATAAATCGAATCAGTTTTTGTTTAAATTGTACTGTTATTTATTAGTCATAGTCTTAAGATTAATGATATGAGTATAATATGACCTATATAAGTAGAGTAGAGTAAAAAAGACAGTTCTAGAACCAGAACCTGCTGGCAGATCCCTATGCTCTCGAGCAGAACCCTGACACACGGCAGCAGAGCCCGCCGCCGACGGCAGAACCCACCGCCGGTCGACTACCCCCACCAGCCGACGGCAGAGCCCACCGCCGGTCGACTACCCCCACCACCCGCCGCCGCCGACGGCACTCTATGGCCGCCGCCGCCGCCCGGGGAAAATAAGTTAAAAAATTTTTTCGTCCGACCGGGTTTCGAACCCGAGCCTGTGGTTTGGTGAGCGACCACTGTGCCACTGCGCCACCCCGCCACATATACTTAATTGGTAATAACTAGCCCTATTTAACTTGTATAAATGTACATATTATTTCTAATATCATTTAATGAAAATTATTTCTTATCACGAACGTGTTATCAAGCACCCGTTAACATTTGATAATGAAAATTATTTCTTATCACGAACGTGTTATCAAGCACCCGTTATTATTGTGCTCAGTTTTTATTTAAAATATTTGTACATGTTATATATATTACCGAACATCTAAACAATTGTAACGGACATGCAGCTGCATGCAATATCCCTGCAGTGACACGCAGATGCTCCCCCCACCAAATAATATTCAATGTACACGTTTAATACCGTAAAATGAAATCAGTCGCTCTTCACCCGCCCGAGTGTTCGTGCGTTCGTATCGTTTTCAGCGTTGAATTGAGAAGTTTTTAAAATAAAATTATTTTTCGTTCTATAAAATAAATATGGCCGGACCAGTCGAAAATATGGCTAATATTTGGAAGAAGAAACCTTTTAAATATACTCCACCAGCGCCACCAGCTAATCTCATCGACTGTAGTAACTTGACTATTGATTTCACGGCTCGGAAGTTTTTAAACATTGGACTAGACCCTACCGACGAATTCAACACCAAGATACATATTATAACAGCTTCACGTCATGTAAATATTCCTGTCG